GGCTCTGCGGGCACCATGCCCACCAAGGGCGCTGCCCAGACAGGCCGGCCCTGCACGGGATTGCCACAGCTCGCCAGCCATGTGCCCAGGGCCGCCAGCGTGGGGTTGGCTGCATCTTGCTCCCTCCTCCCCGCCCCGTGGGGGCTGCAGGGCTGCATGTGAGGGTGGTCTTGGCCTCCACCTTCCTCTAATCGTGGCGCCAGGTGCTGGAAGCTGCTGCCAAGGCCGGGAGCTGCGCTGGGCCTGCTCAGGGTTAGTGGAACAGGGAAGCCCTTGGGGACGTGGATGGGGCGTCGGCAGCTGCTTGCAGTCGGGGGTGTCGGGCTGGGAGTCAGGAGCCAGGGGCCACTCGGAGTTGATCACAGCCTCTACTACATTCAGGGACCTTCCAGAGACCCTCGGGGGCTCCGTGAGCTGGCACTGTACACGTGAGAATGCTCCATGAACGCTTTCTCCAAAGGGCACCTTGGGATCCCAGCGCGGCCAAGCCCAGTGAGTGGCCTCAAGCAGCGCAGTGTGGCTTACTACAGGGTCGGGGCCTGCCCTTGGCCGTCCCCAGGGGTCCGGGCACGTGTCCCGGGGCTGACCTTCCTGCTCTCAGCCTGCCCCCTCTCTCGCAAGCAATATCCGGGAGTCCCAGGCTGCAGAGCGGCCCCCAGGGGAGAACATTCTGGATCAGAGACCAATTACCCTCCAGCTTCTAAAGCCAAATGGGAGAGCTGGGTCTCCGGGCACCCTGCCGACAATCAGATCCCAAAACAATCAGCTCCGCAGTGGCAGAAGCTTGGGAACCAGTGCCCTGGACCCTGGCTCCTGCCCTGTCCCTAGGGAGCACAGCTGAGCAGCGGGCACGGGCGGGGTGGGCACCGGGTGAGCTGGTCCAGTCCACGGGTCCTCTTGGCTCTCTGCCCTGGCACGCTGTTTGGTCAGATTCGGTCACAGACCACTGGAGTGGGAGGTGGGGACTGAGGACGCCCCCTGGCAGCCCTCTGCGCCGTCACACAGGCAGCCCCTTGGTCTTGAAGGTGCATGTTTTGGTGCAGCGTGTGGTCACTAAGGCCCGACCGGCACTACCCACTGGCCCTGAGGCTGCAGAAGTGGACACCGGCCAGGGCACTGATGCACAACAGCGGGGTGCCCTCACCTCACAGGGCAGCTGCAAGGTAGGAGTCCGGGCAGAGCTGTGGCGCCTCAGGAACGTGGGGACATGCAGCGGCCGCCCAGCACAGGCGACCGGTGAGGAGCTCTGTGCGCTCACAGCCGTGTGAGCTTGCGTTGAGCATGTGTGCGCGCGCGTGTGCAAATATGCATACATGTGTGCGTGTGCGCGCGTGATCCTGTGAGCCTTTGTGCAGATGGTCAAGAATGAGCGAGTGTGCGTGTGAAATGTGAGGGGTGAGAGGCAGTGGGTGGGCATGTGGGCTTGGGGGTCCCACACACTCCGTACTGGGGGCAAGGGGGTAGGGCTGCAGAGGCTCCAGTGGCCAGAGGTGGAGAAAAGGGGCCCCTCCGGCAATGACACGTGGTAGACAGAGGGGAAGGGGCTGGTGCAGACCCTTCATGCTCACTGAGTCCCTCAGACGTGATGGTGGACAGGTGGCAGGTGGCCCGGCCTTGCCCTCCTGAGAACACAGGTCTCCCTGCAGAGCTGTCTCCCACCTGTGCCCACCGTTAGGGTCCCCAGCAATCTGTAAAAGTACTAGTCGGTGCGGCTGGGATCACACTCACCGCTGGGAACCCCCCTGCCGATTCCCTTCCTCACAGACCCACCTCCTGGGGCATGGCCACGCATGGTGAGTAGAGGCCTGTCCTCCAGTTCTTCCATGCTGCCAGCCCGGAGCGGCCCTCAGGGGACCCACATACGACACCATGAGGGAATCTCGGTCACACCCCTTCGGTCCACAACACCCACACAACCACCTGGATGCCTGTGTGTCTGGGTGCGCAGACACGTGTATCTCCACACATACATGTTCACACACACGTGCCGACAGGTGTGTGTGTGTGTGTGTGTGTGTGCGTGCGTGTGTCTGGAGAGGGGCTGGGCAGACACTTGTCTATTCCGCTTTTACTCTCTCGGCATCACCTCTGGATTAGTGTGTGTGCATGCACGCATGTGTGCACTTGTGGGTATGTGCGTGTCTGCGCATGCATGTGCACATGTACACGTGTGTGTCCGTGTGTGCCTGGAGAGGCAGTCAGTCGCCTTCGCTCTCAGCATCATCTGACTCCACAGTACACAAGACACGGATTTGCCACGTCCCAGCCTCACGCTGGCGCTCACAGGAGACCCTCCCCGACAGGCCCCGCGCTGGACGGGCCACTATCCCACAGTGCCCCCACGAAACCACCCATGTGACCGCGAGGGGCTGAGTCTCAGCAGTGCCGTCGCCACAGCGCATGGACTCACGGTTTTGTTTCCAGTCAAGGGGCTGCGCTGCTTTGTGGAGAGCAACGGGTCTGACTCACCCACCCCCTTCCCCCGGGACCGTTGCCGCTGAGCTAGAGGCAGCATCCTTGGGGCAGACTGCCCCGCCTGCAGGTGCCTGACCAGCTCTCACTCCGGCATTGCCTCTGGTAGCCCATCACCGCATGTCGCGAGAGCAGGAAGCCCGACAGCCTCTGGGCAGACGTCCTTCCTCCTGCTGCTCTCCTTCTGGTGGGTCTGGGGGGCCCACAGGGCTCCCCGACCCCGGGGTGCGGGTACTGGGTGTGCACATGGAGCTGGCAGAGTCCTGGTGCGGGGGGGAAGGGCCTGGCGTCACCACCAGAGCAGCACAGTGGATACAGCGAGGCAGAGGGGGGAAGAAGGGGAGAGCAGGGTCCAAGAGGCGGCAGGGAAGACCACCCCCTGGCGCCTGCAGTACCAGCAGTCGCCGCTAGGTGGCAGCAGCACCCTATGCAACAGCCCAGCAGGGCCTCCGGCGACCAGGGCAGCCAAAGGCCAGCCCAGCTTTGCGGATGGGCCCTCTCGGTCCGCTCTCCTGGAGTCTTACTGACCGTGCGGCTAACAGCTGCATTTCCCGGGCCTGGGGACACCAGAAGCAGAAGCAGGGTCCCGCTAACCCGCAGCACCTACGTCAAGGCATGCAACGGGCACTGGGTCCCCAACTCGCTGTGTCAAGGGCTCGGTGGGGACAGACCCTGGCCCTGGGGAGGGGGTCACAGATGGTCACCCGGCAAGGCTGAGAGGACGCCTGTCCCAGCCCATGGCCAGGCAGGACCCCCAGGGGGGGTTCTTTGTGGGGCCCCGTGCAGGCTGTCCCATGCCTGGACAGTCACTGCCCCGGCCTCTGAGCCGTAAGAGAAGATCCCATCATCTCTTCTGTGTCCACGCTGCTCCCGGAAGCGGGCAGGGAGGTGTTGAGGACACCTGTCTCCCCAGGGCTGACTCTCAACGAGGGCACCCCACTGTGCAGGGGTACCCCCACCCCCCCAGGATTGCCCCAGCCCTGCCTGTGGTCAGTACTGCAGCCTCTGCCAGCCGCCCCCGGTTCCCCTCCCCCGCCCTCATTGCTCTTCGAGGTCAAGAATGTGCATGGGCACACGCACCCACACCTGTGGATGTCACATGCTCATGGGCACGTACAGTATGTACACACGTAAACGCACCCTTGCACACACGTGGGTATGTTGCTCACATGTGAATATGCCATATACGTTATGCATGTATGCTTGGTACATCATTTACACAAGTGTACTCACTGTGAATGTCATACATGCATGCCGTGTAACATGCACTGTGTGTCTGAGTCTGTGAAGGTCAAACTGTTGCACCTGTGTGGACACACGTATCCACAGGGTGTGTATGACGTGCCTCTGGGCCTACACCCTGAACACGATGGACGGGGCTGTCGTGTCCACTGCATGTGGGTGCGTGAGCCCATCCCCGTGTGCAGACCAGCAGTGCACACGCAGTACTTGGGCTCCCTCTGCCCCTCAGCCTCATTCTGGGATGTAGGACAGCCCTCGACGGACCGTCCACAGAGAAAGGACGTGCCCCTCCCCGCCATCAAGGCCTCTCCTTCTGCTGACCCCAACTGCTGCCAACAGGAGGCCCCAGGGCACGCTGGATGCGCCACCCCGGGGCCCACCTAGGGGGACCCAGAGACCCAGGTGTGTGTGAGGGGAGACCCCAGCCAGTGCAGGGGGGCAGTGCGGGGGCGCTGAAGTTCCTCCAGACGACACCCCCGAGTGCCTCTTCTCTCCCAACCACCCCCGGGGCCCACCAGTACTGGACACACTGGACCTGGGCGGGTGCCCTGAGTGTGACACCCCGGGGCCACAGCCTGGCCAGCACTTCTCCGGGCCACTCCAGGGACCTCCGCTCCAAAGCACACGTCACTGCGGCCCCCACAGGGCTTCTCAGCTCACCCTTCAAGCGAAGGCACTGACTGGTGACCAGGCCCGCACTGCCTGCCCAGGAGGCTGCGTGTCCGATGGCAGAGGCCTGCAGAGGGAAAAGGCAGATGCCCAGCAAGGCCGCTGGCGGCTCTGGCCCTGCTCGGATTGCATTGTGAGCTGGCGGGACCTCACCGCTGGGTGATCCGTCACAGCCAACCTGAGCACCATCCGGGGAGACCGAGAGCCAAACACAGAAAGGTGGGTGTCACGGAGGGCACCCGGGACCCCGATGGCTGCTGTGAGGCCAGCCCTGCACACAGTCCCGACTGCCCGCGCCCATCTTTATATAACAAGATAAAAAGTAAGTAAAGTAAAGGCCCTCCCGTTGATCGCCGATTTGCTCGAGCGGGCCCAGTAACGTCTCCATTGGAGACTTTGTTGTTACTGTGTCTGGCATATCGAACACTCTCGGTAGCTTGCCGGGCTCTCCGAGAGGGGCGGAGGAATCGAACTCGGGTCGGCCATGTTGGCCGCTTGGAAGGCGAACGCCCTACCCGCTGTGCTATCGCTCCAGCCAAGATAAAATGAGCAAATTTTAATAAGCTAAAAAAATACTTCAGTACCACCTCCCTCAAAAGGCGGTGACAGCCCACCCGCAGCGCCTCATCACGGACACCAGAGTGGGACGCCAGGTGCTTGGGGATGGACGCAGGCGCCAGCTGGGCTCACCGGGGCTAGGCGGGGTCCGAGCCAGCACTGTCTGTGGCGACATCTGTGGCACTGTCCACGGCGGCGCCCACAGCACTGTCTGTGGCGGTGTCCATGGCACTGTCCATGGTGGCGTCCGTGGCGGCATCCACGGCACTGTCTGAGGTGGCGTCCACGGCACTGTCCGCAGTGGCGTCCATGGCGGTGCCCACGGCAGTAGTGTCCACAGCAGTGGCGTCTGAGGCAGCACCATCCAGGGTGGCCGGGTCAGGGTCCCCTGCCCGCCCGTCGGCCAGCGCGTCCAGCCCCATCATGCGCAGGTAGTGCAGTCGTTCGTTCTTGGGCACGAAGGTCCGCAGGGACGTCTTCCCCCGCCAGCCACACAGCACGATGGGGCAGCGTAGCGTGTCTGGCCTCCTGCGGGCACTTGCGGTCAGCCCAGCCACGCTCTCCCCACAGACGCGGCCCATGCCCTTGCAGGGTCACGCCGCCAGGTCGGCACCCCTGCCCCATCTGTGGTCACTCCCTGGCCTGTCTGTGTTCACTTCCCGCCCAATATGTCTGTGGTCACTCCTCGCCCCATCTGTCTGTGGTCACTCCCCGCCCCGTCTGTCCGTGGTCGTTCCCTGCCCCGTCTGTTCATGGTCACTCCCTGCCCCGTCTGTCTGTGGTCACTCCCTGGCCTGTCTGTGGTCACTCCCCGCCCAATATGTCTGTGGTCACTCCCTGCCCCATCTGTCTGTGGTCATTCCCCGCCCTGTCTGTGGTCACTCCCCGCCCTGTCTGTGGTCACTCCCCGCCCCATATGTCTGTGTTCACTCTCCGCCCCATCTGTCCGTGGTCATTCCCTGCCCCGTCTGTTCGTGGTCACTCCCTGCCCCGTCTGTCTGTGGTCACTCCCCGCCCCGTCTGACTGTGGTCACTCCCTGGCCTGTCTGTCTGTGTTCACTCCCCGCCCAGTATGTCTGTGGTCACTCCCTGCCCCATCTGTCTGTGGTCACTCCCCGCCCTGTCTGTGGTCACTCCCCACCCTGTCTATCCGTGGTCACTCCCCGCCCCATATGTCTGTGTTCACTCCCCGCCCCGTCTGTCCGTGGTCGTTCCCTGCCCCGTCTGTTCGTGGTCACTCCCTGCCCTGTCTGTGGTCACTCCCTGCCCCGTCTGTCTTTGGTCACTCCCCGCCTCGTCTGTCCATGGTCGTTCCCTGCCCCGTCTGTTCGTGGTCACTCCCTGGCCTGTCTGTCTGTGGTCACTCCCCGCCCCATCTGTCTGTGGTCATTCCCCGCCCTGTCTGACTGCGGGTCACTCCCTGGCCTGTCTGTCTGTGGCCACTCCCTGCCCCGTCTGTCTTTGGTCACTCCCCGCCTCGTCTGTCCGTGGTCACTCCCTCATACGTCCTGCTCTGACCTCCATCACACAGCTGTCTCCCACCATGAAGGAGAAACCGAGATCCCCACGGGGTCCCCCATGTCCCCTGCCACACCCCGCAGGCCCCGGCTCCTCGGGCTGTGCCCGCCTGTCCTCTGGAGGTGCTGTGGCCAGGCTCGCTGACCGCCACCCAGAGGCAGCCCTGCCCGTGCCCCCACCTCCCAGCGGCCGCACCATCCCTGCTCGGCCTCACTCACGTGGGGTCCGGCTCGTACTTCAGGACGACGCTGCCCTTGGCTGGAGAGAAGAGGCGTCCGTTAGCCTTTGCCCGGGGCCGCCCGCCCCAGGCTCCCGGGGCCCGGGGACACTCACTCATCTCCTTGGCCTGCCGGTGCGTCTCGCTGCTCAGTTTGCGGAAGAACGGGTTCTCCTGCGTGAGCAGGACCTTCACGTCCTCGATCGAGACGTTGATGATCCTCGAATTGATGAAGGGGTACAGCGTGTAGATTCCCTGGGGGGCACAGCCAGCAAGGTGACCCGGGGGGCCGCCTGAGTGTGGGCCACACGCATGGAGGGGCAGACACACGCGTGGGTCCCTTACATGTCCCCTACACACACACACACGCTCTCTCCTCTCTCCCTCCCTCCCCCCACCCCTCTCTCTCTCTGGGCACCTCCTGAGCCAGGCGGAAGGCACAGTCGAATTCCTCCCCACTGTTGTTGCGGCACCAGACTTTGATCCCGGTGTTGATGACCTGCGGTGACGGCACAACGGGAGGAGCCTCAGAAGCCTGCAGGGAGGGAGCAGGGCCAGGCCCCACCCGGGGAGGGAGCACTGTGGGGAGCACTTTGGTGAAGGGAGCACAGCAGCGGGGGAGCACGGCGCTGAGGGGAGCACGGCAGGGGTGGGGGGAGGGCGCGCCCACCGGCCGCACCTTCATCTTCTCGCTGTTGTTGAGCAGCACGTTGCGCAGCTCCTTGGACACCATGTACAGCTGCCGCTTCTTCCCCTCCGTGGTGCGCGTCAGCAGGTTCATCCTCGGGAACGAGGGGTCCAGCGCGTAGAACTTCCTGCGGGGCAGGAGCCGGCTGAGCCCACCACGCCTGCGTCCACGGGCCCAGGGACGCCCCCCGGGACCAACAGGGCCGGGCTGGGGCCCGGGTGCGCGCGGCCGAGGACCTACTGGATGGGTGGGAAGAGCGGGTCGTCCTCGGGGATGAACACGAACGGGTCCTCCTTGAAGCCGAACACCTTCATCTTCTTGGAGGGCGGCGGGCTGGAAGGAGAGGCCGTGTCCACCCGGTGGAGGCGCCCAGGGCCCACCCAGCCGGGCCGCGGCCGCCGTCTTACCCACACACACCGTCTCTCCTGGCCCCGTCACTCTCCGCGCTCTCGGGACTCGCGGAGACACCGGCGTCAGGCATCCCAGGCTCAGGGTCCGGCTCCGAGGGGCCCGTGGCCTCCTGTGGGGCTGCCGTGGGCTCCGCAGGGCTTGGCTGGACACAGGTCCTGGGCTCGCCGGTGCCCCCCTGCGGCTGTACAGGGAGCACGTCAGCGTCTGGGCAGTGCCTGGGCCCACAGCTTTGGTGGACAGTCCGCAGCCTCCTCAAGGCCAGTCTCCCTCAGGTCCAGGGGCGTCTCAGACGCATCCGAGTCCCCATGAGCAGCCAGGACAGAGTGAGCCTGAGGGGCCTCTGCAATGGCAGCGCCCCGGTCGCTCGTCCCCGAGCGCAGAGGCCGCAGGACAGCTGTCCCTGCCCCTGAGTACCAGCACCCCTCGGCTCCGGCCACCATTCTGTCCCACTGGACTCTGCAGGGCCTGACCCATAGGCGTGCTGGACAGGGGCCCACCCAGTGTGCAGTCTCACCTCCCGTGCAGGGGCCAGGGGCAGGGTCCTTCCCAGGGGCCAACCCGCTAGCCCAGATTCTGGCCCGTCAGCACCAGAACCACATCCCCAGGTCTCACACCTGCACCCGGAACCTGCTCAAACGGGGTCTCCCTAATGGCCTCACAAGGAACGGGGTGGGGCCTCACAGGAGACCAGGAGCCCCGTGGAGAAGGGGAGGGTCTCCCTGACGGTCCCTGGAGCCCATGGAGAAGGGGCGGGTCTCCCTGACAGTCTCTGGAGCCCGTGGAGAAGGGGAGGGTCTCCCTGATGGCCCCTGGAGCCCGTGAAGAAGGGGAGGGTCTCCCTGACGGCCCCCGGAGCCCGTGGACAGCCACAGGAAGATCTGCCGTGGCAAGGCGGGCTGAGCAGGGGTTTGCAGCTCTTCAGTAAGGAGGGCACTACCCGAGCTTCAAGCTTCCTCTGCACCCAGGACCCCCCTTGACCAGAAAGTCAGCACAGGGAGGGTGTTTGCCGTGCATGTTTGGTGTTTGCCAACCCGGGTTCGATCCCTGGCCCCTCCAGGAACGATCCTGAGCACAGAGCCAGGAAGCAAGCCCTGAGCATCACTGGGTGTGGCCCAAAGAAAGGAAGGAAAAGAGGCTGCGTAGATGTGGGAAGCCGTCCCCGACAGAGACGCGTCCCCCCCCCGCCCTCCCCCCTCTGCTCACCTTGGGCGCACGCCGGTTCCAGGGCATGGCGGCCTTCTTCACGAAGACGGCCACGAAGAAGCCGCCAGTGTTCTGATGGTGTGGCAATATCCGCAGGCTGGAAGCCAAAGCCAGAGTCGGAGCCTGTGCCGGCCACCCCCCAACACACCCCCAACACTGCCATGAGGGCAGACAGAATGCGCACGCCCTGCCCTGCGGCCGCTGGGCTCCAGGCTCCCGCATGCCCGGGATGGGGATGGTCACCCCCACGCGCCCCACTCACCAGCGCTCCAGGTGCATGGCCCGCAGCTTCTCCGGGTCGCTGGGGGGGAACATGGTGGGCCGAATCTGGGTATGCCGGCTGTGGGGGACGTCGCCCCACTCCGCAAACCACTGACCGTCTTTGGTCATCACCTGCGGTCAGAAGACGAGGAGGCTGAGCTGCCCGGCGGGGCGCAGCTGGTGTGCTCAGACGCAGCCCAGACTTTCTGGAAGGGACTCGGGTTAGCCCATGGCCCGAGGGTCAACATTCAGCACTGGGCACAGCCAGGCAGGGTGCCCCGGTCGCTAAGCTTGTGAGAGAGAGCCTCCTCCCATGAAACAGGAGAGCCAGTAGAGCATGCTGTTTCAAAAAGCAAGCCTCTAACAAGACAGTGAAAAATCCAGCCCCATCAAAACACTGAGAGACCAAAAACTTCCTCAAAGAAGAGGGGGTGGAGCGACAGCACAGCGGGCAGGGCACTGACGCTGCACGCAGCCGACCCGGGTTCCATTCCCAGGATCCCGTATGTTCCCCCGAACACCACCAGGAGAAATTCCTGAGTGCATAAGCAGGAGGAGCCCCTGTGCACTGCCGGGTGTGACCCAAAAAGAAAAAAAAAATTGCAAACGGACAAAGGCCCATGAAAAAATGGTCTTCAAGATAGGGGCTCTCATTCACTGCTGAGGGCACTGGCCCAGCCCTTCTGGAAAACGGTAGGGATATTCCTAAGAAATCTAGGAACTGAGCTTTCACTTGAACCATTAAATCCACCTCTTGGGACAGACCCCCAAGCCCCCCCATCAACCCCAAGTGGAGAAAAGCATTTCACCCCCACGTTCCCTGAAGCACGACCCCCAGCAGCCCAGATCCGGAAGCAACCAAGTGTCCAAGAACAGATGAGTGGGCAGAGAAACAGGCACATCCACACAGTGGCCCCCGACTTGCCGGGAGAAGAGCCGGTCACGCAATCTGTACTTGGCACAGAACGCCAGCGGCGGAGGCCGGGCGCTGCAGGGGAAAGGGCCCGTGGTGCGGAATAGAGACTGGCCCCTCGTGGGGAGCCCGTCCTGGCAGGAGGTAGGGCCGTGGTCAGCGCTTACCTTCCAGTGGCTGAGTCCTGGCATCCAGCGCAGGCCCGGCAACTCGGAAGACACATCCACGAGCTCCAGGGCACCTGCAGCGAGAGTGGAGACGTCCCCTCTGTGTGGGCAGACCCCGGCGCCTTCCAGGCGACGTCCAGTGAAGACCAGACACAGAGAGCAAGGGGCCCGGGAGAGCAGCAGCAGCCGAGCCCAAGTCCCAGGGGCGCCTGGTGAGCACAGAGAGGCCAGCAGGGCCCAGCAGTTCCTGGCCCCCCGTGAGGACAGTCTGGTCGCAGACACCTTTGGACATGGGCCCTCTGGCAAGACTTCTGAGCTTGCCACTGGGCAGTGCGGCCCACTGCAGTGACCTCAACCGACCGTGAGGGAGGCCTGTGGCACCACCTCAGCCACTGGCCACCAGATCGGGTACAAAGCACTTGACGAGGCCAGAGCCCGGAGGGCAGACAGCGAATGAGCCCAGGCACCACCCAGGGCCCCGGGTGGGAAGGGCGGGTCCTGCGGGCAGAGCCCCCGGCCCCCTCACCTTCGCTCTTCTCCAGCAGGGCGGCGATCACGGCCTCGTCCTCGATGGGGTTGAGCGAGCAGGTGGAATACACCATCCGGCCGCCTGGCACCAGCTGCTCAGCGCCCCGTGTGGCGATGCGGAGCTGCAGGCTACCGACGGACACCCGGTTACCAGAAGCCGCAGGGGTCGCTCCCAGGGGCACCCAGGGAAACCTGAGGTGCCGCCGCCGCCCCCACACGGGCCCGCGTGTAACGGTGAGAAGCCAGACTCGATGCCGCAGCCGGAGCTCACGGCAAGGTGCTCCTGGCTCACAGAGACTCTCCGCTTCCCAATCGGGAAACTAACGTTTTGGTTTTGGGACCACGCCTGGGTGTGCCCAGGGACCCCGATGGCAGGGCCACCTGTGGGGCCAGGGGCACACCTGGGCCAGCTGGGCAACGCCTTTGCGCAGTGCCCTCTCGCCGGGGCCGCCCGAGAGCTGTGCTGCAGTCACTGCCCACAAGAGAGCAGGGCCGACAGCCGGGCGGACACCTACAGCGACACTCAGGGCGCAGGCCAGGTCAGCCAGAACCATCGTGCAAGCCTCGGCCTGAGCACTACGTGGACGAGCACCAGGCCAAGAGCATAACACACTGCCATGCGGACAGGAAGCTTCAGCTGAACTGGGGGGTTTTCTCCCCCCGCCCCGACTGTTTTGGGGCTGCCCCCAGGTACTTGGGGACACGAGGTGCCGAGGACAGAAACTGGCCCTCAAGCGTGCTGAGCAACTCTGAGCATCTCCCCGCCCGGCCTATTGATTTCCAAGAACCGCCAGAGTGTTCCTTAATGGGCTCTCGCCCGCCATCAGGAGCATCCCAGGGACTTTCAAGAGTCAGAGAAGAGGAAGGCGAAGGGGGTGGTGAGGGTGAAGGCCCAGGGAGCTGCTTCTCCCACGTCACGGCCAAGTGCACAAAGTGGGCCCGGGATGCAGCGACTAGAACAACTGCCGTGCGCAGGGTCACAGCCAGGCCCTCCCCGCGTCCCTCTCAGCCCAAACATGCCGGCAAGAGCCACTGGAGCCCCAGCCAGGCCCCGAGACGCCCCATCCGACAGAGAAGCATATGCCATCCGGACCCCCGTGGGTCAGCGCCCGAAGTCCCGGGAGCTCAGAGAAGCCGCGGGTCCCGTGGGCTGGCCGGGCGCACTCACCCGTGCAGCTGCAGGCTGTTCAAGGTGGACCACTTCTTCCAGACGTCAATGTTCTTCCTCATGGTGCCGTCCCCGCTGGAAGCAGAGCCCAGAGCACGCCGTGAGCTGCAGCCGAGCACGCGCCCCGGCCAGCACAGGCTCCCATGACACCTCTGACCCCTGCCGTCGGCCGGGGGCGAGCCACCAAGAACAAGTGCCATGGGATGTGCCCCCCCCACACTTGTTTGTCCCTCCCCCCTCCCATGAGCGTCTTAGTCCTGGCAGCAGCCCCAACCCAGTCTCCGGGGGCACCTGCCTGGCCCTGGTTCAGTCTCCCTCGGGGTAAGCTCCGCAGGTGCCGTTAGCATTTTTTGGCCACGCTCAGCAGTGCTCAAGGCCACTGCCAGGGGGTCATGCAGGACACCAGGGGTTTGAACTTGGGCTGACACACTGGATAATACCCTGAGCTCTGCACTACTCAGCAGGGCCCACCCCCAGGCACCTCACACACCGGGAATCTGCTCCTCCATGCCCAGGAGACCTGCAGCCAGCCACTCGCATGAGGGTCCCGACTCCGAACCCCGAACCCTGGAGGCCCAGGGCCTCCCAGACACGGACTCGGGCACCAGGGGCAGGGCTGGGGCAGCACAAACTGGGAGGCACCGGGAAGAGAGCTGGGAGGCCTCGCGCCGCGTCCCTCCCCTCCTGCAACCGAAACACCAACCCCGGCGTGCGCATCCCGACCAGCACCTGGCGAGGCACCGACCCCGGCGTGCGGGTACCTGCAGGGCACGTCGCAGAGGATGCGGTCGTAGAAGAGCGTCTCCTTCCGGCCGTCCACGTCGATGCAGAGCCGGGGAATGCAGGATGCGTCGTGATTGACCACCATGATGCAGGGGCTGCCCAGGCGCTTGGCCTGGTGCACCAGCAGGTAGCAGCGCTTGTTGTCCACGTCGTTGGCGATGACGAAGCCCTCTGCGGGGGGCGGGGGCCGGGTGAGGGCGGCAGGACCCGCGGCACCCCGACCCCCAAAGCTGCAGCCCGAGAGGCCCCTCCGCACGCCCGGGCCCGAGCTCCCCCGACCTCTGGCCGAGAGGAGACAGGATAGCAGAGGTCGGCGTTGCCCAATGCCAGCCCAACCCTGGATGAGGGGTCGCTCCTGCTGGCGCCCAGGGCTCCCCCTGGAGCAGGGCTGTCGAGGCTACTACAGCACAGCCAGGGGAACGAGAGGGGGACGGACGAGAAACCCAGCCAGGAGGCACCGCCAGCCCGGCGATGCCCCAAGGCCAGGAACTGACATTCCAGGGCGTGCGTGAGGCACGGACACTCCCTGGACAGTTGGGAAGGGGCTGGAGGTGCCGGGGGTCCAGCAGGCCAGAGGACGCTAGCCACTCCCGTGGCCAGGGCAGTCCACCGTGAGGCCGGTGCGCGTCCAGGTCCCTTGCACCCACCTGGGAAGGGCACGGTCATGTCGGCGTGCAGCATCTCGATGAGCTGGGTGGTCTTCGAGCCGGGCGCCGCGCACATGTCTAGGATCTGGGGGCCAACGAGACAGACGTGTTCTCAGGAAAGTCAAGGCCACGGCCAATGACACCCGAGACGCCACGTCCCCGACACCACACAGGCGACGTGCAGGCCCAGGCGCGTTTCCTCCCCCTTCCTCCCCACAGCAGCAGTTCAGGCCCCAGGAGGCCCCGCGCTGCACCCCACCCTGCCCTGCCTGGCCCACCTTGTGGTGGGGGTGCGCGTTGAGCAGCAGCGGCGGGATCATGCTCACAGCTTCCTGGCGGCTGATATTGCCCTGAGAAAAGAATGTCCCGGTAGTTAGACAGGGGGGCAGGGGAGCACGCTCCTGAGGACCCCCAGTCCAGCCATGCCCAGGAAGAGGTGCGCTGTGCCCTGCCCGGGGAAGGCCTGTCTGAAGATCACCAAGAGCCACGGAGCCGAGAGGAGAAAGGGGCAGAGCCAGGGGCTGGCGGGAGCTAGGAGGGACGGAGACAGGGCAAGCCTCCGGGGGGCACGGGAAGAAAGGCGAGTCTCCCCGAAGGGACAGGAATGACCTGGACCCACGATCCCTTCCAAGCTGAGCCACGGGAGCTGCTTCAGGACGCAGCAGCAGGAGGCTTGGCCCTGGCGCCAACTCCCAGGCCGAACCCCGCAGTGTCCTCACGTGCCCCGAGACCTCGGGACATGGACCTAGCCCGAGAAAGCGACTTACAGACTCGGTCTCGCTGACCAGGAACTGGTGGAACTTTTCCAGCTGTGGGGACTTCCTCAGGATTTTCCGACTCAAGTTTGTGTGCCAGGCAAGTTCTTCAGGGTACCTGGGAGGAAGGAAGGACGTGCGAGGAGGAGCATGAAGGGCCACTATCCAGCTAGCCCTCCGGGCAGCCCCGGGCAGGCCCTGTCTGCACCCCAGGCTTTCTGGCGGCACCTTGTGACCCACAGCGAACATGGACTCGCTCAGAACCCCAGGCCTTGAGCCGCTGGTCCTGGGCTGGGGCTGAAGGCTCCAGCTCCAGCTCCGCAGGACCGCCAAGTCCCGGAGACCAGTCTGGCAGAGCTGCTCGGGGGGCCACTGGCATCCTGGGCCCAGGGCATTGGCTGCCTGCTCCCCTTCCCGTCACCTGTCCCCACGATGCACAGCCGACCACAGTCCCCATCTCGAGCGTTCTCAGCCCTGCTGAGCTGTCCACTCTCCAGCCTGCATCCAGGGGACAGGGCGGGAGCGGCAGGACACAGCAGCATCCCGCAGGGTCTGTGATCCCTGCGTGCGGAAGCAGGAGGAACCCCGAGCATCCCCAGGTGTGGCCAAAACACACCAGTTGAGGAGATGAAGCTTCACAGCAGGATAAGAACCGCCCTCCCGAGAATCTCCCATCCGCCCGCCAAGCCCGGGCCATCCGGGCCCTTCCAGAGCTGCGGAAACCACCCCGATGTCAAGTGACGTGAGACGAAGGCCTGACCAAGGCAGCCTTACTGGCCCTTCCAGAGTCATGTCAGTAAGGGCAAGGCTGCCATCGGCGGTCAGCATGGGGCGCCTGTGCCTGCTGGGCCAGACCTCACTCCCGGGGATGCTGGCGGCCTCCCGCAGCCCCAGGGAATAGCAAGGCTTTTCTGACACAGCACCAGAGCCCGTGTCCCGCCCGGGAAACCCCCCAACCCTCACCCAGCACAATCTGGATGTCCAGAAGCCGGGCCAGGTGTGATCGTTGAGGGCTCCAAGCACACAGCTCGCGGCCATGGCCAGCAAGTACCTCCCTAGTACCACCAGCCTGCAGACCTGCCTGGAAAGTTCCCTCAGCAACAACCACGACGTCGTTGGCCTAACGCTGCAAACTGACAATCCCAGGAACGCAGCCGACAATGGGCACTGTTACGTGTCCATGTTGGCTGAGCCTCCAGGCCTTCAGCATCGGGGGAGCCTGGCCCCTCTGTGGCAAGCACACGGGATCTTGCAAGCGGCCAATGAAAGCAAAGCAAGCCTGACTTGTTTGCAACCACGCAGGTGATGCCCCCGGAGGAAGGCAGCATCACCCCGAGAGGCCAACCTTCAGCAGCAGTCAGGAAGGTACTGCCTCAACTCGCCTTTCCAGGACCATCACCGAGAACGTTCTGGGTTCCCCCCCGCCCCAGCCCGCCCCGCTCTGTTCACTCTGCCTGTCTCCAGGTGGGCACTGAAAAGTGGACTGTTACTTTAAAGGCTCCCGGTTCTTGAAATTCATGGGAGCACACTCCGAGGAGCCTAAACCCCCAAACCGAGCAGGTCCCTGAGGAAATGTGCCCCTGGGGGGGTGGGAGGCAGGGAAGGAAAGGGTGTGCTGCCTGTGGGCACGAAGCCAAGACAAGAGCGACCCAGCGGCCTGAGCCAGACCCGGCCTCCCTCCTAAGGCAGGGCAGGGGACAGGTGCAGGGTGGAGGGTGTGGCCAGGACAAAGAGAAGGTGGGGTGAACGGCTCAGATCGTGGGAATTGTGTGCACTGCACTGAGGGTGGCCCGGGTGGAAATGTGTCATGCCCGTCTGCAGAGAACGGCCCCCGCCCCTGGCGCCAACAGCAAACACAGTGCCAGGGAATGGGTGGCTGATTCTTACACCTACCAGCTCAGGGGCTGTGGAACATCCACCTTCTGCCCGTCCACCTCCAAGTCCTCCAACTCCTTGAAATACTTGTTCTTCAAGCAGTGGAGAATCTCCTTCGCGTGACTATTAAGAAACAAGGATCAAAGAGCTTCCTGCATTCCATCTGCCTCTCTGCAAACCTGAAACGAGCTGCCTTGGGTCACGAGCCATACAGCAGGCGGGGCCCTTGCCTTGTAGGCAGCCAGCCTGGGTTCAATCCCAGACGCGAGATGGGGTCCCTTGAGCCCCACCAAGGAGGGATCCTCGAGTGCCGGGAGTCAGCCCTGGGCATGCTGGGTGTGCGGCCCAAGAGCAACAACCACAGACCACGGTCTCCGAGCAGAGAAGTCAGACCTGAACACTCTGCAGCTTCACACCCCCGCCCTTCCACGCTTAACTGCCGGATCCCACCGCACTCCCTCCCTTCTCCCCATTCCCCCACAGTTCCGTTTTGGACTTGCAACTCACCCTATTGAGGACAACAACAGAGAAATCGCGTTTGTTTGACTGTCTGGGGCCCACGCCCGGTTGTGCGCAGGGCATGCTCCTGGCGGGGCTGGGGTGGGAGGGGGCACAGGGGACGCGGACATGGGTCCGAGTCCACATTGCATGTATGGCAAGTGCAAAGCGCGCGTTCCATGCGCCAGGAGAGGCTTTTTTTTTCTTTTTGGGTCACACCCGGGGACACTCTGGGGTTACTCCCGGGGGGCTCGCCACTCAGTAACTGCTCCTGGCCGTGGTGCTGGGGGCGGGGGGCCACCATATGGGACCCCGGGTGGGGGCCAACGCCCTCCCCGCTGTCCTACGGCTGCGGCACCCCGCTCCCAGCGAAGCCCCCTTCAAACCTGGCGCCGCTCGGGCGTGTCCACCTCCCGGTCCCCGCGGCCGCCCGCACCTCTTGTAGCCGGTGATCCTCAGCGTGGCCGGGAGCGGCTCCCGCAGCGCGCCCATGAACTGGTCCCACTCGCCGTCGGGCACGATCCCGAGCTCCTGGTAGTAGTGCTCGAAGAGCTTGTTCTCCTTGACGATCTCGGGGTAGCCGCCGTCCCAGCCCTGCGGAGCGGGGCGTGAGCGCGGGAGGGGGAGGGGAGCCGCCGGGAGCCCGCCCGCCGCCCGCCCCCGCCTACCGCGCCGCGCCGCCCGCCCGCCCGGCCGCCGTCCTCCTCGCCCCGCTGCTGCTGCTGCTGCTGCTGCTGCCGCCGGGCCCGCGCCCGCCGCCCCATGGCCCACGCGGCCGAGCACGCCGCCCGGACAGCCCGTCCCGCCAGAGCCGCGGCCGCACTTCCGGGCTGCGCGCAAGGCCCCCGCGCCGGGGTCGGCCGCGGCCGCGCCTGCAGGACCCGCCGAGAAACCGGCCCAGGGCGCGGCCACCCGTGCTCTCCGGAGACGCGGGCAGGGCAGAGGCGGCGCCGGCCGCCTGGGGCGGGGAGGCAGCTCCACACGGGGCTTCCACAGCAGCTCCGCGAGGCGGCGAGTTCCGCCCGACACTCAGGCAGATCCACGAACAGCCAGAGGCTGCGCGTGCGCGGAGAGGCGAGGGGCGTGCCCGTTCGCAGACGCGCCCCGGGCCTGCCAGCCCCGCCCACTCCTGTTGGCCCAGCCCGGCTGGGCCGACCCCACGGTGGTGGCCCCGCCCCATCATGCTGGCCCCGCCCCGTGGGGGCGTCTCCCTCCCGACTGGCCCCGCCCCCAGCGATAGCTCCGCCTCCATCAAGCTCTCCTCGGACCCTTATGGCCCCGCCCCTCATCTGGCCCCGCCCCATCTGGCTTTCCCTGGGCCCGGCTGGCCACGCCCCTCCCTGTTGGCCCCGCCCCGGCGCCCGGCGCGCCCGCCGACCCGCCCCGGCTGCGCGCGGAGATGCGGGTGCGTTCAGCCGGTCCGGGCTCGCAGGTGCCCGCGGTGACCGCGCCTCCCGCCCCCGTGCCCGGCTGCCCTATATGTGGGCCGCCCGGGCATGGGGCGGTCCCCGGAGGGCAGCGATGGAGCCGGAGGAGCGGCGCGCGCTGGGCCTGCTGGCCGCCCTGATGGCCGCGCTGGGCTGCCTGTGCTTCGCGCTGCTGCGGACCCTGGGGAGTCCTACCTACGGGCGCCACGGGTCACGCCGGGGCCCCTGGGTGCTGCCCGCGCGCCCCGCCTGGGCCCTGCAGGAGCTGCCGTCGCTGCTCGTGCCGCTTGCCTGCGCCTGCGCCCACGCCGGCCACCTGCACCGCTGGCCCAACCGCCTGCTCCTGGCCATGTTCGTCCTGCACTACGTGCACCGGTAACGGCCGAATCCCCCACTGCTGCCGGGGGTCCCTGCCCCTGCCGCCGGGATCGGGTCCCTGCCCTGCAGCCCGGTGTCCCCCGCACTGCCGCCTGAGGTCCCCGCACCTGCCGCCCGGGGTCCCCGCACCTGCCGCCCGGGGTCCCCCGCACCTGCCGCCAGGGGTCCCTACCCTGCCGCCGGATCGGGTCCCTGCCTTGCTGCCTGAGGTCCCCGCACCTGCCGCCCGGGGTCCCCGCACCTGCCGCCAGGGGTCCCTACCCTGCCGCCGGGATCGGGTCCCTGCCCTGCTGCCTGGGGTCCCTCGCACCTGCCGCCGGTGTCCCCCGCACCTGCCGCCCGGTGTCCCCCGCACTGCCGCCTGAGGTCCCCGCACCTGCCGCCGGTGTCCCCCGCACCTGCCGCCAGGGGTCCCTACCCTGCCGCCGGGATCGGGTCCCTGCCCTGCTGCCTGGGGTCCCTCGCACCTGCCGCCGGGGTCCCCCGCACTGCCGCCGGGGTCCCTTCCCTGCCTCCGGGTCCGTACTGCCACCGGGGGTCCCCCGCACTTGCCCCCCGGGATCCCCTGCCCTGCCTCCAGTCCCACACTGCCACCAGGGTCCCTGCGCCTGCCTCCAGGGTCCCTGCCCCTGCTGTCGGGGTCCCTGCTCTTCCTGCCTGGGGTCCCCGCACTTGCCTCTGTAGTCCCTGCTCCCGCCACTGGGAGTCCCTTCCCCTGTGGCCCGGGGTCCCATGCCCCTCTGCCGCTAGGGTTATTGCCCCTAGCACCCTAGCACCCGCCAAGTGTGTGTGTACCCCTCTGCCATCTAGTTCCAGCCTGAATCGTGTGTGTGTGGGGGGGGGGGGGGATGCATTCTTTGGAACTGCTGGGCTGGTTGTTTCTGAAGCGGCAAATGTTACCGGACACTCCCCTGTGCAATTGGGGACAGTTAACTTTCCCCACTAGGAAAGATAAGCTTTTTCCATCCTGCAGTTTATTTATTCAAGGGTTATTTGACCCAAGTCTGCATTCTTGGAAGTAAGCCAAGGAGCATCCAGTGCTCTGCATGGGTTCCAGATCCATGGCCCAAACCCAGGGGAAAGGCAGCCCCTGGCAGGTGGGCAGGAGAAGCCTGGGGGGGCTCTGGTTGCAGGGTTTGAGGGGCAGTTATCTGCAGAGCAGGGGGGAGGTCTGGCACCCATGACAGCGCCCCCTGGAGGCTGGAGTCGTGGGGCAGCCTGGGGAGGAAGAGAAGGGAGCATGTGTTTGCTGGGGGGTTTGCCAGGGAGTTCAACCCCATACTCCTGTTCCTGACTGTCCAGCAAACCTTCTTGGGCACCCACTTAGAGGCCTGTCTCTGGTTTCATGGCACTTCACAGCTCCCCTTTCAGATGTCCAAGTTGCCTGTTTTGTATTTTGTTTGTTTGTTTATTTATTTATTTTGTTGTTTTTGCTTTTTGGGTCACACCCGGCGATGCACAGGGGTTACTTCTGCCTCTGCACTCAGGAATCACTCCTGGTGGTGCTCAGGAGATTCTATGGGATGCTGGGAATCGAACCCAAGTAGCCCTACCCGCTGTGCTATATCGCTCCAGCCCCAGATGTCCACATTGCTTGTGGACAAACTAACAGAATCTTGGGGTGGGGTGAGGGTGCTCCCAAGCACCCCAGGGCCAGGCCTGGTGAGGCCTTGCTGACCTGGAAGGCTGCTGCTGAGGTCTGCCGCCTGCCCGTCAACCCAGGTGTAGCTGCGCCACCCCTGCCTCCTGGTCATGCCCAGCCCTGAGGCAGTTTCCAGGTCACACAGGGACCAAGGCCCTGGGGTCTATGAGGTCTGTCCTCAGCCAGGGGCACCAGCTCTATTCCACCCCGCAGATGCTGCCCAGAGCATCCCACGGCGCCTGGCCAGGGTCCTGGCCATGCGGGTTCAGGCACCTCGGCTCCAGGTACAGTGTCCACCTCCTGCAGAGACCCACGGGGGCACCGGGCACCCACACCCTCCCAGGGGTGGGTGGCAGGAGTGAGGGGCTGTACCGGGGGTTCCCATGGCCGCGTGGAGGGGGAGGGCACCCACGGGGTCCACGCGTCTGACCGGGGCAGGGCGGGTGGGCAGGTCCTGGTCCTGGGCGCTTGTTGCAGCTCGGGAGGCAGTCAGGATCTCTGCGTGTCCCGTCACCGAGAAGGTGCCTAGCGAATAGGCCGATGGCGGTGGTGTTGGAGTTCTGGGTTCCAACCCAATGCTGCCCCATGTACTGGCGCTAGAGAGCAGTGCGGCCCCCGCCCACGCTTGAGTGCCAGTGACTGGGTGGGTGCCAGGCATGGGGAGGGTGCGGCCGCCCCGGGTTTGGCCCAGAGGAGAGCGGGCAGGAGGCGCCCTGGCCAGAGGCTGACACTTGCCTGCTTTGGTTCCCCAGCCATGCCTGTGTCTCTGGGGAGATTGCAGGGACCCGCTCTGGTGAGCAGGACCGAAGCAGGGGCGAGGGCTAAGAAAAGAGCCAGATGTCAGAGAGAAGGGGCAGCGTCTCCCGCACATGGCACTCATCACTTAGGACCAGTGACCTTCAGCGGGAGAACATTCTCGGGTCAGGGCCCAAGTGTCTTCATCTACCTGCGTTAGACTTTTCACTCTGAGGGTCTCAGTTGTGGGATGAGAACCCCTCCCCTGCGCTCTCTCTGGGAGATCCATCCTGCAGGGAGCAGAGATGCACAGTACTAGCACCCAGCCCGCACACAGTACCAGCACCCATCCTGCGGTGTTCTGCCTTTAAAGGGCTCACACACTGCCTGGCAGTCCAGCTCCTGACCCATCTGTCCCAGCAGGAGGTGGTGGCAGCTGTGACACCTGAGATGAGCCAATGCCCCAGAGCTGACTTCCTCCCACCACAGGGCCCTTCAGCCCCTGCCCCGGCACACACGGGAGAGCACACACACAGCACACACAGTATATACAGAGCACACACAGCACACATAGCACACACACAACACGCACAGAACATACACAGCACACACAGAGCACACGCATGGCACACAGCACACAACACAGCATACACACACAGCACACACAACACACACAGCACAAGGGAGAGCACACAGCACACACGCACAGCACACACAGTATATACAGAGCACACATAGCACACACAGCATACACAGAACACACAGCACATACACAGCACATACAGCACACAACACAGCATACACACACAGAACACATGGCACACACACACAGCACACACCCCACACACAGTACACAACACAGCTCACACACAGTATACACAGCACACACACAGCACACACAGCACCCGCTCAGTTGTGGAATGGAAGCCCCTGTGTGGTCCCAGGGCTCAGAGGGGCTACACTTCCCCCCATTCCTGTCATCCTGGGCTGGGGCAGTCACTGACCCTGTGTCCTGGCAGATAGCTGGGCCCTGGACAGAGGCCAAGAGCCCCCAGCCCCGTTCCAGGAAAAGCCTTTGCTGCGGGCCATGGGGAGACCCGGCAGGTTCTGGGGGTCCCGCGCACATGCCATTGCCGGCAGAGACCCCGCTGTGGAGCCCAGCCTCCCACCACCGCCCTCACCTGTTCCCCAGAGGCTGGAGATACGAGACGTGATCCCCCATATTGTGGGTGCCGAGCCACTGGGTGTGCTCGGCCCAGCTCCTCTCTGGGGGTCTTCGTGAGCCCCCATAGTCACTCCCCTGCTCGGGTCACATGCAGACTCCAAACGCTTTCTCAGCTCCCACCTGTAAGGAGCATTCTGGAGACCCCTGCCCTGGACAACCCCCTGCACCCCACCCCCCAGCTGCCCCAGCAAGGGTGTACGGGGCTGCCTGCTGATGCCAAGGAGCCCACAGACGTTGGCGCCACGCCCCTGCCCGCCCCATAGACACGTTTCTAGGCCGGTGCCCTCAGGCCGGGTCTGGCTCCTGGCCCCAGCCTTCGGGAGAAGCCGCACGCAGGGTCAGCAATCCCCAAGCCCTTGAGAGCCAGCCCCCCTCTCCCCCCCGGAGCCTTTTGTGGGCTGCAGGGCCTATTTGTGGGGGCGGGGGAACACCGGTGCTTCCCACACTGCCTGGTGGATGCAGAGTGTGGGTTCGGGGGAGGGTCACGTAGCCGGTCCCCCTCACCCCTGCTCCCTGGAGCAGGAGTCTCAGAGGGGAGAGAGGATGAGGACAGGCGGGCCCCGACATTTGCTCCTGACTTGCTGAACCCGCTTTGTCCCTGAAGGTCTGGCACCCTCTGGAACCGCTTTGTGCAAGCCTCGGGCTTGCTGAGTCTGCCTCTGCTTCTTCACCAGATCCCTGATCTTCCCGCTGCTAATCCGAGGAGGCAAGCCCACCCCGCTCGAAATCTTCCTGGGGGCCACGGTGTTCTGCACCATTAACGGCTACCTGCAGGGCAGGTACCTGAGTGCGTACGCTGTGTACCCCGACTCCTGGCTGACTGACCCCCGCTTCCTCCTGGGTGAGTAACCTGAGCGCATCAAGTCCTGTTCCAGAAGCTTCCAGGGGGAACGGCCAACTCTCGGTGAACGCAGGCAGCACCACAGAGCCTGTGCTGTTCCCGGGGTGGCGTGCCCAGGGGCAGGTGGCCGGGCCCCTTGAAGCAGGACTTGCCCACGCAGGCCCCAGGCACAGGCCCAGAGCGAACCCTCAGGTAGCAACAGGGGGTCGAGAAACAGGGTGAGACCTGGGCAGGCACTGGTATCCATCCGGCTTCCTCTGGTTGGTTCCAGCATGTGGGCAGAGGCCAGAGCAGCGGCTCCCCCGCCAGGGCCCCGGCTCCAGCCCGGGTCCACAGCAGCCTTGCAGAGTGAGTTCAGAGATGGCATCACTGGGATGGATCGTGCCGATTCCTGCACACGTCTCATAAATGAAAACATACTTTCACTATAACATTGCGAGTTCTGCATACACACACACGTGCATGCACACACACACACACCAAACCCAGAAGCATTAACCTTCATTGCAGCATGGTTCACAGCAGCCAGAATCAGAAAAGGCCCCAAGACTAGGTAGCTGGGTAAAGAAACCCCGGTACGTCTATGCACTGGGGCGCTCGCACAGCAGCTGGGAAGGGGACCTCATGGCTCATACATGGATGGACATGGAGAGGATTGTGCTGATGAAATCAGAGGAGGACGGACTCAGAATGACTGCACTCAGTCACAGGGTAGTAAAAGTCAAATAGGTCTGTGAATAATACCCAGGGCAGGAAGCTCGCCACCAAGGGGAGGGGCATGGAGTGCAGTTACAACAGAGAAGGTGACAGCGATAGTTGGGAATGATCACTCTGGACGAGAACTGGGTGCTGAAAGGAGGCAAAGAGATATGCATGTTACCCCTGTAACAGTATTGCAAACCACAGAGCCTAAAAGGGGACGGGGGGGGGGGGGGAGAGAGGGACACAGAGAGTGAGAGACAGAGGAACAGAGTGGGAGAGGGACCCAGAGAGGGACACAGAGAGTGGGACAGAGGGAGAGAGAGGGAGAGGGAGACCGGGGACACTGTGGGGGGAAAACACAGAAGGACGCACCGGTGAAGAGGATGTGTGTTGGAAACTGTATGACGGAAACTCAAGCATGAACAACTTGTAGCTGTGTATCTCACAATGGTTCAAAAAAAAAAAACATTACCCATCAGAGAAACACTCTGCAGACCTGTTCAGAAGCCTGGCTGCTTTGTGCTCCAGCTATCCAGAAGGTTCTCCCACACAGTTAAGGAGTCCAGGGCTGCCCCTGCAGGCATCCAGCCTCCCAGGCTCCTTGGTCAGTGCCTGCGGCGTGAGAGGGGCTGCTGCTTTCCCAGGGCTCGAAACGGACCCTGCCAGGAGCGACGGAGGAAGCATCTGGAAAACACCCCCTTGCTGTGGGCTTCCCTGCTCCAAGAAGCCTGAAGGCTCGAGTCAGGAGATGTGCCAGCGGCCTGCACTGTGAGCAGGCATTTCCATTGCCGTGCTCTGAACCCCGAGACTCTCCTGGGGGGTCCCGTGAGCCATTCTTCAGACACAGGAGCCCTCTGGGTTGGGCATTTGTAAAACCCTCCGAGCCGTGCCCTGAGCTCTTCCCACACCAGCGTTGGCTTACACAAAGCTCTCTCTGGCCTTTTTCCTTTCCATTTGTAGTTGCCGGAAGGGGCCAGGGTCAGTCTCTCGGCGATGAAGACCCAACTTGCCATGTTGGTGGGAAGTGGGGGAAGGGAGCTGAAGGGTCACCTAAGACAGGCTGGACGAATGGAGCGACGTCAGCTGGGAGCAAGGAGGCACCTGCCATGGGGAGGGAGAGCTCTCTTCCTTCCTTCCTTCCTTCTTTCCTTCCTTCCTTCCTTCCTTCCTTCCTTCCTTTCTTCCTTCCTTCCGTCCTTGGAGAGCTGGTCCATCCATCCATAGAGGGCTGGTCCATCTGTCCACAGAGGACTATCCACGGAGGGCTGGTCCATCCATCCTTGGAGAGCTGGTCCATCCATCCTTGGAGAGCTGGTCTATCCGTCTTTGGAGACCTGGTCCTTCTTTCCTTCCTTCCTTCCTTCCTTCCATCCATCCATCCTTGGATAGCTGGTCCATCTGTTCATGGAGGGCTGGTCCATCCTTCCTTGGAGAGCTGGTCTATGCATCCTTGGAGAGCTGGTACTTCCTTCCTTCCTTCCTTCCTTCCTTCCTTCCTTCCTTCCTTCTTTCCTTCCTTCTTTTTATTAAATCACTGTGAGGTTCACAGTTACAAACTCGTTCATGATCCAGTGTTATACAGTGTTCGAACACCCATCCATTCACCAGTATACAATTCCCACCACCAATATCCCATTTCCCTCCCACCATCTCCCACCCCCAGTCCGTCTCTATTTTCTTATTCTTGTTCTCTCTGTCTCTTTGTCTGTCTCTCCCCCCGACCCCGGTTTTGGGTATTATGGTTTGCAGCACTGTTACTGAAAGGTTATTGGGTATATGCCTTTCCCTCCTTTCAGCACTCAGTTCTAATCCAGAGCGATTATTTCCAACTCTCATCATATCAGTTCCTTCTTTGTCCTAACTGCCATCTCCCCGCCACTTATGGTGAGCGTCCAACTGTGGTCCAGTCATTCTGGTGAGGAGAATTTCCAACAACAGAAGAGGGAGGGCCTGAGTCTAGGGACCTCGACTCCCTGAGGGGCCCTAATATAGTTTATCCTGATAGCATCTATCAGGATTTCACCTCTGTCCCCTGCTCACAGAGAGCTGGTCCATCCGTCCTTGGAGAGCTGGTCCATCCGTCCTTGGAGAGCTGGTCTATTCATCCACGGAGGGCTGGTCCGTTCTTCCTTGGAGGGTTGGTCCATCTGTCCTTGCAGAGCTGGTCCATCCATCCAGGAGCACTGCTTGTGCCTCTAGTGCTGGGCATGTGGTCTCATGGCCAGCTCACCGTCCCTTAGAGCAGATCTGTGCCCGAGTCCTGATCCCTTCCTGAGACCGTGTGCAGTGTCTGAGTGGACCACGTAGCTGGAGGGTCATCAGACAGCAGATCTGAGCACACGGGTGGCTGTACCCCCTCTGTTCCCAGACGGGGCACTGGCCATGGCTGAGAGGGCCGGCAGCAGGGTGGGACATCAGCCCCGAGTGCACCCGCTATTGACCAGCTTCCAGAAACGTTCATCTGTGCTTGTCCTCTAGGATCTGCCCTGTGGCTCGCAGGCCTGCTGATAAATGTCCACTCGGACCATATCCTGAGGAATCTCCGGAAACCGGGGGACACAGGCTACCGGATCCCACATGGTGGGTGCTGGGCAGGGGCCTCCCTGGGGCTGGGGCTGTGGCATCTTGCTTGTTTTACTTCTGCCTGGAGTGTTTAGTGGACACGAGCTGCTGGCGTTGCCCGCGGCGGCCTCGCTGCCCCTCCTGTTAAAGGGGCTGCCCGGGGCCAGGGGCTTGCGTGGCAGAAAGGCAGCCGAGAGAAGAGGAGAGGACTCTCCGCTCCTCCCTCTGCAGACAGAACTCAGGGCTAATTCGGGGGGGTGGGGGGGGAGCTCTTTGACAGTGAGGAGTGTGGGCATCAGGACCAGAAGGTGCTCGGTCACTTTGTGCAGGGCAGTGACCACATCTGTGCCCTGTGGCTGGCGGTAAAGCCTCAAGATTCGGGTTAGTGTCCGGGTGGGCCTGGCTGGACCTGCCCCCGCACTGAGGCCCATCCCCCGCCATGGAAGGAGCCACGCCTGGCTGCATACATGGTGCATGGGGGTAGAGCAGCAGCTTCTGGCCGGAGAGCCCAGCACCAAAAGGGAAGAACCTGGAGGTTCCCGGGGAAGGTAGGGTCCTGGGGGAGTCAGGCGCGGCCGAACTGGACCCTGAGGCCGCAGAGCAGTGGGCTTGTGCCCTGGCCTGTAGTTTCCCGCACACCACTCCCCTTCCCGCCTCCCCTCTGGGTGTGCAGTGAATCCCCATCACTCCTTCTGTCTTGGCTCTCGCTTCTGCTCCGGCCTCCGTGCCAGGTGTGGCCCGGGCAGCCTGTGACATGGCGCCAAGCCCTGGGGACCTGGCGGCTGAGTGATGCTGGCACAGCCCAGCCCTGGCATCCTGGAGAGGAACCCCCTGAGCCAGGCCTTCGGGGTACCCCCCGGGGCTGGACAGAGCTGCCCAGGGAGTTGGGCGGGGTGGGGGGTCAGGAGGGTGGCTGGGACAGCCCCTGCTCAGTGAGCCACTGGCCTCCTCCTTCCCCCCCACCCACCGCGGGTTCCTGGTGGCCCTGCCAGTCTGCTGCACCCGTGGTGAGGTGGCACACTCAGTATGGCCAGGCAGTAATGGCTGGGGCTGGCCGCACCTCTGCTCTGCTCTGCTCTGCCAGCCTCACGCCTGCCCTGCCCTGCTCTGTGTGGCTGGCCTCAACGCTGTCCTACCCTGTGTGGCCGGCCTCTGCCTTGCCCTGCTCTGCCCTGCCCTGCTTTGCTCAGCCTGCTTCAGCCCTTCCGTGCCCTGCCCTGCCCTGTTCCGTTCTGCTTTGCTCCGCCAACCTCAGCCCTGCTCTTTCCTTGCAGGAGGCCTTTTTGAGCTTGTCAGTGCGGCCAACTTCTTCGGGGAGCTGACGGAATGGGCTGGCTACGCGCTGGCCAGCTGGTCCCTGGAGGGCAGCGCCTTTGCCTTCTTCTCCTTCTGCTTCCTGTTTCCCAGGGCCGAGCAGCACCACCGGTGAGTGGGGGCCCTTCCCACGGGCCCACGTGTTTCTGGGGGCCTGCCCTGAGGTGCCCACTATCACCCACTGTCACTGGGCCAGTCCAGAGGGACCCGTGAATCCAGGAACCCCCCCTCACACCCCTTCCCCCTGTTGTCAGGAGCCCCCGGGCCTGGCCAAGCCCTGCCTTGCCTCAGGTGCTCTTTTCCTGCCTCAGGTGGTACCTGGAGAAATTTGAAGACTACCCGAAGTCGAGGAAGATCTTAATTCCCTTCCTGCTGTGAGCCTGCAGTCAGGCCGACAGACTCGACAGACTCGACAGACTCGCCACCCGCTGCCCCCTCTGCCGGGCCCGCCCCCACCTGGTCCCCGTGTGCCCAGGACAGAGCCATGGGCCGGCGTCCTTCCCGCAGACTGGTGCCGGGGAGGGGTGTGCCCACTGCCCCGTGGGGCCCGGTCAGCTCTGCAAGTCCAGGCTGCTCAGGGCCAGAGCAGAGGACGCAGGGTGGGGACAGGAGCCACACGCCCCCACCCCCAGCTGTCACCAGCAGGGAGCACTGGCCTCCACCACCATCTCAGGTCCCAGCGCTTCTTCCTTTGGTTCTGCCTCTGGAGACACACCGTAACTTTCCACGCTTGTCCATACAGCAGGTCGGAGCCGTGAGGTGGCCTCTGCCTGCAGCTGGCCCTGGTGCTCCCTCAGTGTCCCCCTATGCACCGTGTAGACCCTCCTCCTCCCACCCTCACCAGGCTGGCATTGACCTGGGAAGAAAGGGCGGAGGGGATGAACCGGGGTCTTGGGTTTTGAAACATTGAAAGGAGAGAAATTCTTGGCTGGGAGACCTCAGCCCCCCTGCCCGGCTCCCCCGTGAGCAGAGGCAGAACCACGGGCAGCCTGGGACGGGTGGCCTTAGAACCTTCCAGAACAGGCCTGCACTGGGATGCCTGGTGCCCGCCAAGGACCGGTGCGGGTGTGACCCTGTGAGTGACGGGGCCCCCATGGTCCTGCAGCAGTGACAGCCCCGACTCCTTGGGGACATCTCCGAGCTGAGCGGAACCAGGTGGACCCGGCTGCCAGGCCGGCAGGAAGCCCGTGCCCTGGGAACATGGTAAAGGTGGGTCATTCACAGCTGTGTCCTCTGGTGCTGTCCCGGGCCTCGGGGGTCACCCCACGGCTGAGACCAATAAAGTCCGTTTCCAGAGGCCTCTGTGTGTGCATCTCTGTCTCCGCTGTGGTCCCCCAAGGCATGGCAGGAGTGCATGGCCACACCATAAGATGGTGGCCACGCCGCCCCCTCCCACAGTGCTGACTGTCCACATGGTGCCAGCCTTGCCCCCACCCCCACGGTGTCCCCCTCTGGGCTCCTGCACCACACATACATCTCTGTCCAGGTGTTTTAAAACGTTTTGCACATGGGGCTGGTGCGGCCAGGCGGGGCTCCGGAGTGAGCCTGGCTGAGCCATGGCCATGGCGGCACCCAAGGCCAAGACCCGGCCCCTCACCCGTCTCTCCAGCTCCTCAGCGAAGTTCGGGAGAACGTGTGGAGCCAGGCCCCGGGTGAGTGGCCTGCAGCTGCCCCAGCGCCAGCACTCGCTCATCTGTGCGGATCCCGTCTTTCCTGGAGGTGGTCTGGGAACAGCGTCTGTTCTCGGGGGTAGACCTAGAGCGAGGGGCGCGGAGTGCCTCTCCCCCAGAGGAGCAGAGCAGCTCTGGCCATGTGCATTTTGCTGGGGAGGTGGCCTGGTGTGCGGCCCTAAGCTCCATAGACAGTGGTCAGGTCGGCGGGAGGCTTTGCTTCTACTTGGGGGTCGCAGCTGGCAGCGCTCGCGGTTCCCTGCTGGCCCTTGTCCAGGGATCACTCCTGCCATGCCTGGGGGGACCACACGTGCTGCCGGGGACCACCCGGGGTCAGCTGAGAGCAAGGAAGGGGCTCTCGCTGCTCTGCCTCACCCTGGCCCCTGGGGGGATTTTTTTAAGGGGCCGTACCTGGCTGAGCTCTGTACAGGTAGCCAGCAGTGCAGGGCCCTGGGGGCAGCGGGCACCTCAACCCCAGGTGCTGCTGCTGGCTATGACATAGGACCTGACCCGTGCCAGACTTGGGTGGCACGTACCGCCCACCCCTAGGGAGCTGCTTCTGAAAATTGTGACATTATGCCCCTGAAACAACAGGAAACAACAAGGCTGTCATCTGAGGACAATAAATCTAGGACTTAGCCAACAAGAGTCTGATTGATGAGGCTGACAGAAAATCAAGGCCACCCTAGAGTACACCATGAAAGCATGGGAGCTGGAGACAGATGAGCCGGGGCTCAGATCCAGGCCTTGTGCAACCGCACAGCCCCGCCTTGGCTCAGGTGCTCTCCACAAAACCTGCTCCAGGCTCTGCCCTTCCAAGACCCCAGAAAGGCATTGTCCAGGGGCCAGGAAGGCCAGAGGGAAGCAGGTTTATCAATCTTGTTTATTTTCTCAAAGGCAGAGTGACCGGGACAGGGATGCCAAGCTGCTCTTGGGCCCTGTAGCACCATGTGTGCTCTGAGGTCCCAGCAAGTCAGCACTGAGCCTGCCAGAGCCCCATGGGCCAGGCAGGGGCCGCACAGCAGTGCCCAGGGCCTGCTGGCGAGGCAAAGTGAAAATGGGATTTTATCACTAGGGAAGGGGGAAAAGATGTGGAGGCAGGAATGACGCTCAGCAGAGACAGCCAGGTGGCACCTGGGCAGACAGTTCCAAGGGGGGCTTCCAGTTGCACCATCAGTGTTCGGGGCTGGAGCAGCCCAGTGGCCCGGGAGCCCAAGGGTGAAGTGAGAGCTCAGCTGTCACATGGCCGTGGACGGACACCAGGTCCCAGTACAAGAAGACTGGGTTTCAGTGCTGGGGTCAGGCCTGCATTAGAGCAGAGCATCAAGGGCAGGCTGGTGGCCGACCCCCTGGTCTGTGTTTACACCAAGAAATGCATGGACAGGCACAGGAAGGGCCCTCACTCAACTCAGAGAGGAGACGGTGTTTTCTCCATCGGGCCAAAGAACAGGCAAAGGTCACTGTTGAGGCCCAATGAAAGAGAAGCAAGGGGGGCTTCTCTTCTGCATTAGGAGGGTCTGCAGGGAGGAGTGAGTGGGGGCAGGGAATGGGACAGCAGGGGGGAGAAGCAGGAAAGAGGGCAGCAGGGGTCACAGGGGAGAAGGGGAAAGAAAGCAGCAGGGGGAGCAGGGGAGAGCAGGAGAGAAGGCAGCAGGGTGGAGTAGGGGAGAGCAGGAGAGAAGGCAGCAGGGTGGAGTAGGGGAGAGCAGGAGAGAAGGCAGCAGAGAGAGAAGGGGAGAGGGAGTAGGGGAGAGCAGGGGAGAAGACAGAAAGGGGAAGTAGGAGAGAGCCAGAGAGAAGGCTGCAGGGGGGGGGGGGTAGGGGAGAGCAGGAAAAAGGGTAGTAGAGGGAGTAGAGGAGAGAAGGCAGCAGGGGGGAGTAGGGAAGAGCAGGAGAGAAGGCAGCAGGGGGAGTAGAGGAGGACAGGAGAGAAGACAGCAATGGAGAACGGGGAGAGCAACAGAGAAGGCAGCAGGGGGGAGTAAGGGAGAGCAGGAGAGAAGGCAGTTGTGGTTGCAGGGGAGAGCAGGAGAGAAGGCAGCAGGGTGGAGTGGGGGAGAGCAGGAGAAAAGGCAGCAGAGATGCTCTGGCAGGGTCCAGAGAGGTCCTGGGAGGTGATTTCTGTGCTGGCGCAGACAGGAGTTGTGGTAAGGAGCCAAATTCGGGATGGTATGATCTGAGTTAGGGAAGTGAGGAGCAGAGAGGAGAAAGCAGAGGGCATGGGGGAGGTGGGGGTAGGGGGTGAAGGGTGCTGACCGGTTCCTTCAGATGAGCCCTGCGCCCCAGGAGAAGAGTGTCAACATACGCTGTCCTTGGATGAGGCCATAGGGAGACTTTATTAGTTTCAATTTCCTTCGTGATGGTAGGTTTGTTCAGGCATTCCAAGTCTTCTTGGTTCAGCCTCGGGAGGCTATAGGAATCCAGGAATTTATCTATTTCCTCGAGGTTTTCTTGTTTCGTGGCAAAAAGCTTCTCAAAGTAATCTCTCAGGATCCCTTGATATTTTGTAGTTTCTGTTGTGATGTCCCCCTTTTCGTTTCTGATTTGGTTTACTAGGGTTTTCTCTCTCCCGTTTTTTTTTTGGTGAGTCTTGCTAGAGGTGTATCAGTCTTGTTTATTTTCTCAAAGAACCAGCTCCTGGTTTCATTTATCTTTCGAATTGTTTTATTTTGGGTTTCCATCTCATTAATTTCTGCTCTGGTTTTATTATTTCCTTCCTCCTGCCCAGGTTGGGCTCCTTTTGTTGGTCATTCTCCAAGCTCTTGAGCTGTGAAGTTAGATTGTTTATGTGGGCTCACTCTTCCTTCCTGAGGAATACTTGTAGAGCTATAAACTTTCCTCTTAATACAGCTTTTGCTGTATTGTGTCCTCATTTTCACTCGTTTCCAGGACTCTTTTGATTTCCTCTTTGATTTCCTTTCTAAGCCACTCATTATTTAGTAGTGAGCTATCTAATTTCCAGGTGTTTGATTTAATTTTCTGTTTGTGTGTGTGATTTCCTTCTATTTTCAACATATCATGGTCTGAGAAGATCGTTGGTACAACATCTTCTTAATTTTATGGAGATACGTTCTGTTGCCTAGCATGTGGTCTATCTTGGAGAATGTCCCATGCACACTTGAGAAGAATGTGTATTCAATTTTTTGAGGATGAAGTGCTCTGTATGTATTTACTAAGCCCTTTTCTTCCATTTCTTCCCTCAGATAAAGTATGTCCTTGCTAAGTTTGAGTCTGGTTGACCTATCGAGAAATGAAAAAGTGGTGTTGAAATCTCCCACTAGTGTTGCTATTGATGTCTTTCTTCAAGTCTAAGAGTAGCTGTCTTAAGTACTTTGTTGGTCCCTCATTAGGTGCATATACATTTAGGAGTGTAAGTTCTTCCTGCTGTACAGATCCCTTTATCAATAAGAAATGACCTTCATGGTCTCTTGTGGCCTTCTTCAGTCTGAAATCAATGTGGTCTGATACCAGAATGGTCACCCAGCTTTTTTTATGTGAGTTGTTTGCCTGTAGTACTGTTTTCCAGCCTTTGACTTTGAGTCTGTGTTTGCTCTGACTGTTCAGATGTGTTTCTTGCAGACAGCAGGATGTTGGGTTCAATTTTCTGATCCATCCTGTCACTCTGTGTCTTTTAATTGGTGTGTTTAGTAATGACATCTATACCTGTATGTTCATTGCAGCACTGTTCACAATAGCCAAAGTCTGGAAACAACCTGAGTGCCCGAGAACAGACGACTGGTTAAAGAAACTTTGGTACATCTACACAATGGAATACTATGCATCTGTTAGGAGAGATGAAATCATGAAGTTTGTTTATAAGTGGATAGACATGGAGAGTATCATGCTAAGTGAAATAAGTCAGAAAGAGAGGGACAGACATAGAAGGACTGCACTCATTTGTGGATATAAAATAACATGACATGAGGCTGACACCCAAGGACAGTAGACACAAGGGCCAGGAAGATTGCTCCATAGATGGAAGCCTGCTTCATGAGTTGGGAGAGAAGACAGCTGAAATAGAGAAGGGCTCACTAAGAAAATGATGGTTGGAGGGATCGTTCAGGATGGGAGATGTGTGCTGAAAATAGATAAAGGACCAAACGTGATGGCCTCTCAGTATCTATATTGCAAACCATAATGCCCAAAAGTAGAGAGAGAGTGTGGGGGAAATTTCCTGCCATGGAGGCAGGGGGAGGGTGGGAAGGGGGGGTATACTGGGGATATTGGTGGTGGGGAATGTGCACTGGTGAAGGGGTGGGTGTTTGATCATTGTGTGATTGTAATTCAAACATGAAAGCTTGTGACTGTATCTCATGGTGATTCAATAAAATAAAAAATAAATAAATAAAAAGAAAGAAAAGGAAAGGTCATGGAAGTCGTTCACTTTCCCACTCATGAGAACCAGCAAGGCCAGCTGGGAACTACACCAGTATCTCTCTCTCCCTCCTCCCCTCACACCTTCCTTTCAGCTTTTTGTCTCCTTTCTAGTTGGCTGGGTAACACAGGCTTAGGAAAAGTCAGCATTTATATTGTCAAACCAGTCAGGGCGAGTTCCATCCTGAGCACAGAGCCAGGAGTCAGTCTGAGCACTGCTGTAGTAACTGTAGCACTGTCCTCC